GGTTTCACTCATAGCAGGAGTATAATGGACCAGGCGAGAAAATAACAAAAATAATGAACAACCATATACCAGAGACATTTTGCGGGGGTGGAGTAAGGAATGGGATCAAAAAGGGGGGGGGAATGATGCACGGGATTATGGTAATGGCACACAGGTGACTTGGTGATGGGAAACCCGCGGGGATTACAATTGAGATGGAAAAAAAAATGTACAAAATGATGTAAAAATAAACTTTTGTTAAAAAAAAAAGTTGGTTTTTTACAGAAAGAGGAAGCTGAGGTAAGTGGTTAAAGAGTTTATCGGTTAATAAACGTAAGCTCTTCTCGGTTATGAATAACTAGATACTAGATTTGGCAAACTTCCATTGTGTGCTCAGTGCTGACAATAAGCATTTTCTGCCATGACAACGCTCATCCCATTTTATACAAGATATTTTTTTCCTTTAATTTTTTCATTTTCGTACTTTTTTTTTTAACGGAATTATCCTGAGAAGAAATGAGACCACACACAGCAACAAATGCAGTGCAGTGCTCAGCTTTGAGGCACTCCACAAGCATTTTTTTTTTTAAAGATCGTATTTACTTATGCATACAAGAACTGGGGTGCAGGCCAGAGATGCAGATGCTAAGAGGATTCATCAGACACAGATGGAGGAGCAGAACAAGCAGGTAGACTAAAATACACTGCTGAGAGGAACAGCAGACAGGAGAGGTCTGCTGCACCATGGGGATTAGCTACCTGGCTAGGGATTGACATCATGCTGCAGTGGCTGCCAACAGGTTGATAGCTCTGAAATTTCAATGCAGGTGCCACCAGGGAGGCCCTGTTGTTCATTTTTGTACAGTACTTGATTTCTCTCCTCAGGTGTAGTCCCTGTAAATATCCCACCACCATATCACCTGTAAAATCTCACCACAGTCTCTTGCGCTGGTCCCACCCATTTTGATCCCTCTCCCTCCCCTGTAATCCTCAGATCTAAAGTTGCCTACAAGTTTTGTCATTTTTTTTTAACCCTTTGTTTGGTTTCTCTACATTCCTCCAGTAAATGGTATTATCCAATATTTCTTTTTTACTTCTGACTTACTTCACTGAGCTCAATCCCGTCCAGCTCCATCAATGTTGCCGCAAATGGCATGAGTTTATCTTTTATGAAAGTTGAGTAATATCCCATTGTGTATATCTTCTTGATTCAATCATCTGCTTGGGGGCATTTAGGCTGTTTCCACAATGGCTCCATTACTGTGTATTTTTCACACTTATCAATCTTTTGAGTTAGTTGTTTGGGGACAAATTTAAAATTTCAATTAGAGAAGAGACAAAGAGCCAGGAGTTAGAGAGCTAGTCAGCTTCAGGACTAGACAGCTAGTCTTTCTTCATGTACAGGTAAAATGAAGAAATATCCATTTGTGATCTTGTAAGAAAGAGGGTCATTTGTCAAATGGAAAATGGCTAAGAGTCCTTTATAGTTCAAAATCAAGTTCTACACAAGTTAACAATTTAAAAATGAAAGGGAATTGTAATAGTGCCAAAAGTCCTGAAAATGGTAGCAAGAAGAAAGCCGACAGGGGAGGGAAAAATCTATTGGGTCATGTAAAAAATGCAAATTTGGGAAGAACTAGACATGCTGTAAATAAACAGGCAAGCTATAAAATCTGTACATCGTTGCATAAATGATAGTTCATACCATCATATGAAAGGGTCATTAACAAGCCAACAGGCAGGTGCAACAGGTAAGGAAGCCACCAACAAATACTGGAAATGATGCTCTACTACACCAACACAGACTAAAAGTGTTTTATACTATTTGGTGTCCATCTGCCTCTCCTCACAGTGTGATAAGAGTGGAGCTGAGCAGGAAGAAGCTGGGGAGGAGACTGAAGTTGGAAGAAAGAAGGATGGAGACTAGGAAACCTGGAGGACATGGAGCAAGAGACACACGAACAAGCTAGCTTCTTGGTCTTAGACTAGTTAAACAGATGTGGGTGGGAGACCCGCGCAGGGAAGTTAATGATGGCAGCTTTGATTTTGCTCTTTTCCTTCTAGTTGTGCTTTAGGCCCCTTTGCTGTGGGTCCCCATCGGAAGGTGCCTTAGATTTGTGGCAGGCTTTCAGACCTAAGGGGCCTGCCTGCTTTGGGCCAACTGTGTTTGGGCATTTACCCAGGACGGGAAGGGTAAAGTTGGGAGCTTGATTTGGAATCTATATTCTTTATCTTTCCTGTATTACACACTAATTGTAATAAAGTTGCTTTCCACTAAAGGTCTTATGTCATAGAATATGTTTTGTCTTGATGCAGCAGCTGGCAGAACCTATTCAGAGGGGGCAGGTTTGGGGGTTTTGGGGTGCCCCTCACCATAGTAGTATTTAAAATGCAAACACAAGGCTATTATAAGGCTGGCGGTGGTCCCGTGGAGCGAACTTGAGGACCTAAGACTTACCTTCAAGGGCGCGCTTAACCTTCTCTTTCTTTTCCTGAGCCGTTCGCTGAGCTTCCTCCCGGGCTTTGCGGTACAAGTACTCCCTACGAAGACGGGCCTCTCGGCGTAGCTAGAACAATGGGCTCCAGTCAGTCCCTGTTTCATCACCCTCGCCCCAGACGGGGGCATCCTCCCCGGATCCTGGGGCCGCATTCCCAGCCTTCCGTGAGCCCCCCAACCTCCAAAACAAGAACTCTAAACATCCCTCCTACCATCCTGGCATCTGGTCCACGTGCGTCCGGAAGAATCTTTGGGTGTATCCTGCGCAACGCTACCAACTCTTCCGCCCTCAACAGTAAAGATCGCTAGGGGCCTTCATTGCACTCTACTGAGGTTGCCGTTGCCCAAAGTTAACATGGTGAACGGTGGGTGGAGCCAAAGGTGATTGGCCACTGGAGAAGCGCAAGCTCACAGCCGCAACCATAAATTGTCAACATGTCGGGTAACTTTATACAGCGGTTAATAGATACAGCAGGATGTGCAGGAGGCCCATTTCAATCAGGAGCCGTTACAATAATGTAAAAGAAACATAGCGATACCCTAGGGAATCGCCTGCCGGTGCCTTTTTAAAAGTCACCAGCGGCTCCTTTAAAATGGTTCCCGCGCCTCCTGCCGTTACCATAGCAACAGTCCCGCTTTAAAAAACGCGGCGGCTTCCAGCAGCGACTAGGAGACAAACACCGCTCCAGCCGCCGGACCGGCTGAATAATCGCTTTGGGTGCTCACTGGAGACGCCCACCTTGAGGGTACTCGGCCCTTAACCCCGCGACTGCTCGTCCCAGCTCCGAGCAGGAACGCCCGCGCGGGGCGCCCATTGGCTGTCACGCAGCCAGGCAGGCCGGTGATTGGGCGACCTGAGAGGCGGCCGACGGCGGGCCCAGGTGGTGGGGCCATGGCGGCGTCCAGCCTAAGAGCGGAATTGGATTCTCTGCTCTTGCAGCTGCTTGGGGATCTGGAGGAACTGGAGGCGAAGCGGGTGGCGCTGAACTCTCGGGTGGAGGAGGTGGGAGCAAGGGGTGAGTGGGGGGCTGGGGGGCACGCGGAGGTACGCTGAGTTTCACCGCTCTCCTCTCTCGCAAGGGGTGGTTCTCGCTCTCCAAAGCTCGGTACGCCATGGGTGCCAAGGCGGTAGGACCCCTGCAGTATGCCTCCCGCATGGAGCCCCAAGTCTGCGTCTCCACCTGGTGAGGAACCTTGCCTGCTGGGGCGGGCAGTGCGAGGGTGGCCAAGGTCAGGCCGGGGAAGCAAAAGGTCCGTCGTCTCTTCTTCAGCGAGGCCCAGGACAGACTGCAGAAGTTCCGGGTGGTGAAGGCCGGCGCCCCGACCCCAGAGGAGGTGGGGCCCCGCGAGTCAAGTAAGTACCACTTCCTGTCGTGGGGCCCCCTCCCGATATCACACCTGAGAGGCGCGGAAGGGTGAGATCATTTTATTCAGACTTGTGATAAGGCGTCCCATATCGGAAGATCAGAATGCCTCAATAGCGTAGACATTTATAGGGAACAATAGACAACGTTAAAGGCGAGGGCCATTATAGTTGGGATTATGCTGTGTTTAGGGGAGGTCTCAGTCTGCTGAACAGAAGCATTTATCTTTGTATCTAGTTAGTTTCAGGTGGACAAACTTCTAATATCAGTTGATCGTTAATGAGATAAGAGCCAGGAGTTGGAGGCTTTCTGGTCCTTCAGCATGTTCTGGTGAAATATGGAAGACAGGTCAGTGCATGGCCTTGTCACAGGTAAACTAGAGGAATCACCTGCTGGTCTCATGAGGGTTATGAGCGTAGACAGACATTCTTCAAAGGAATGAATCACAAGGGACTGACTAGTGCTCTGTGGTAACTTGTTTATGGAATATAACAGTTGGGGGGCTGGGATTTTCCAACCACTGGTGTTTTCCAGGATCAGGAGCTCAGATCAGGTTCAACAAAGACACTGAGTATACAAGATCTCACCAAGTGTGAGACCTCCATCTTCGGTCTTTCTTTCTCCAGCTTTGCGCAGGCGCAAGGGCCCCAGCAAGATCCAGGAGCCTGAGCCGGAGACATCCCCAGTCCCTCAGGACCCTCTGAACTGGTTTGGAATCCTGGTTCCTCACAGTCTGCGGCAGGCCCAAGCTAGCTTCCAGGAGGGTGAGTGGGCCCTTCCAGGCAACCATGCAGCTCTGGCCCAAAATCAGATCTTCTGCCTACAAAGAACACTTGAACATTAATGCTGATGTTTGCCAAATGCTTTGCGTGTTTTCTCCATTGCAGGCATCTGTTGCGAATCCTCTATTTTCAAAAATATTTACTGACTTTGCTATGTTCTAGGTTCATGCTAGGTGCTAGATTTACAGCAGGAAACAAAAGAACAAACACCCTGAGTTGGGGGTTATTCTATTGAGGAAAGAAAAGGACACATAAATTAAAGAACCTGCCTAAATACAATACCAGGTGAAAGATAGGGTATGCTGGATGGAGTTGGGACAAAGAGTAAGCTGACAAAAGTTATTTTATGAAATATGGCCTCAAAGGCCTCCTGAACTAATGAGGAATGAATTTTGTGGGGGGTCTCGAGGAACAGCACAATAGCAGCCAGGGCAAAGACCCTAAAGCCTGAAGTGATGTCTTGTCTGACACAGCAGAAGTGAGGCCTGTGGGCTGGAACAGAGTTGGTACAGTGGGAAGAGGTTAGAGAGTACTGACCCAGGTGATTCAAGGGTTGTGCTCCTACTGAGGACTTTGGAAATAATGGCTGCCTGGCTGCCTGTGAACAGGTGTCAGGAGCCCTTGGATGCCGGGTGGGAAAAAACAAGAACGAAGTAAGTGTCAAGGAGCAGTCAGACATGAAATGTAGGGGAGGGCAGATGTAAGTGGTAGGAAATCATGTTTTGAGAATGGAAGTTCCAGCATTTGCTGACAGATCAATTCAGGAGTTGGGGAAGGAGAGGAGTGAAGGAGGAGCCCCCAGTCCCCAGAGGAACATCAGGGAGATCGGAGCTGTTCTCACTTGGTGTGAAGACAGCAAAACCTTAGCTCAGGGGAAGTCAGAAGTTGGATTTGGACAAGTTCCTAGTGCTGTGAAGCGGAAATTCTGAGCAGGTGGTTGAGTACATGCTTGTGGGATTTGGAAGAGGCCTAGCTAGAGAGAGCAATTTGGGAGCTCACTGCATATCATCAGTATTTTAATTCCCAAGTTGTTGGCACAGACGTAGCACTAGAGCTGAGATGGGATAAGATCAGCAGGGGATTGTGAGTCTGGACAGGAGGTGCAGGGAAGGAAGGGGTGAATCCATGCAAGAAGACTGAGAAGCACCAGTGAAGTTAGAGCAATGCCCAGGGGAAAAGGTGGCCTAGAAACCAGGAGGAGAAAGTTTCCTGGAGGGAGGTGATCAGATGTGTAGCCAACTCTGCTTCTAGAGAGGTAGGGTGAAGGTAAAGCTGGCCTCTGGGCTGGACAAGGGTCTAGAGAACTTGACTGCGACCATTCCCACAGAAAGCCATTAGAAGTGGATCCAAGGTCTGGACCACTTTTAGGCAGAGAAAGCAAGTGAAAGGAGAAAGGGAAAGGGCGATGAAGGGCTGTGGTAACAGAGGAGAGAAGGAAAGAAATGAGGCTATGTGACCTGTGAATTTTTAGTTTTGCTAGGTGATCTAATGAGCCCAAGGAGATCTCTGGGTAGGTGACAGTGAACTGAAGGAGGCTGAGCATAATGGTGCAGTGAGATTCTAGAGCAGCCAATGCAACACTGTACCTTGTTTAGAGAATAGTTTGGACCTGGAGCCTTTTCCAACCCCTGGGTATGCCCTGAGTCACATGTCACACACAGGTGCCACAGTGACAATCTCTCCTCTTTCTCTAGGCTTGCAGCTGGCCGCAGATATAGCCAGCCTTCAGACCCGCATCGACTGGGGTCAAAACCAGCTCCGTGGGCTCAAGGAGAAGCTAAAGCAGCTCGAGTCTGAGGCTGCCTGACCTGTGACTCCAGAAACAGTGCAGTGACACTACTGTTCTTCCTGTGCTGCCTCATCTGAGGCGTCTTTCTTCAGCTGCCCAGACCCCAGCCAGTAACCCCTTCTTAAAGTTTCTCTGGTTTGCATGTTTCAAACTTTGTAAATGTGACGGCCTCAGGAGGCAAAAACACTGATGTTGAAAGTCTCTACTGTTAGTAACTAAGCAAGGTCTCAATGCCAGTTAGATCCTGTAGATAGTTTATGAAGTAATCAAAGTGAGGCTTCAAATGCTGGAGCGAGCTGACGTGTTATTCTGTGAGAACTTTTCCATGATACTCAACTTCAAACTAAGTTTTCATTTAGTTTATATAGTAGGAACACTAAGTTCGTACTTAGTACATTTGTAATTATTTTTGACAAGAGGGGCTTCTAATGTAAATGGACCTGACCTAAAGATATGCTGATGCTAAAGGAAGGCATTGCAGCATTTAACATCTTCCTTTCAAAATAATACCGTGATTTTTTCTAAGTGGGTGGATGATAAATACTGGCTGGTTTCACTTATATGTGGAATCTAGAGAAACTAAACAAAGGGTCAGACAGACAACTCATAAGAGGGTCAGCAGACTGCAGATCTGACACACTCAGGAGGAGCCGGAGGCCGGGAGGACAGAGGGCAGTGGGGGAGGAGAGCCCGTGGAGTGGTGGAGGACTGTGACTGCACCTGTGTGGAAAAATCCTGTAGTGAAAAAATAAACAAGGATGTTTAAAAACAAAACCCTAAAATAATGCCCTGTATTGATGCAAAAGCTGGGAACCCATTCTGAAATCTTCTCTTTGGTTCCTTGGTCATTAGCAGGGTAAAAGACTAACTCTATCTGCAGGCAGCAGATTTCAGTACATAGGATGGAGCCTGCGGAGGTGACTGCTTTTGCCTCCTGGACCAGGGGCAGGGTCTCCAGAAAACTTTACAATTTGTTCTTGCTACTGTGAAACCAATTCAGGGCTTGTGTTATATTATAGGACACTCATGGGGCTGGTTAGTTGATTAACAACTGAGAGAACCTCCTGGATCTATCAGCTGTGCTTTCATTACAAGATTTGAAATTCAAAGGGTTAGTGGCAGGTGTTATCTCTGATAGTTAACTAGGTGTTTCTGAGATAAAGTGAGGATTAGAACCCTGGAGAAGAGACTGATGGGAAAGGGGTTCCCAGTCAGTTGCTTCTAAAACTCTTACCTGGGAGAGTTTGGTTTTATAAAATACTGAGATAGGCGGAGTTTTGTCAAAAAACAAAAAGTAGAGGGGTTGCAACTGAAACATGCACAAGGCAGAAAAATCCACCAGCCTCATGGGCATACGTTAGTTTCCCGATGGGCAGCCTGCTTCTCTTAATCTCTGGTAGGCAGTTTGCAGGTAAGAAAGACAAGAATTTGGAAGGCAGGAAATGCCTGTTTGGCTGGCCATTTGTGGGTGACTCTGAGAGGAGGGGAGGCTTGGGAATGAGGCTGCTGGGTGACAACAGGATTTTTGAGGGCCCTTCCAGCAGGTCTCAGTCTGCTACTTCTGCCTCTATCCCTTTCTTTGCCCAAAACGTGTTATATTTGTTATCTTTCACAAAAGGAAGGACAAGGAATAGGTGCCTCAGTTTTACTTGAACCCTCAAAACTAATGTTAATGCAGGTAGTAGCCATACACATTACAGGATCAAGACAGAATGGCTCCCTATAACTAAAAAGTACAAACACCTGAATAGGTGGGCAGCGATTGGTAGTTTTTGTTTTTGTTTTTTTTTTAAATCAGAAAGTAAGAACAATCTGGCCCTCCCTGCAGCAGGTTGGAGCAGAGCACTGTGAAGCTGGCGGTAGCTGCTTCAGTGAGAGTTCGATCTCCGCCCCAGAGGTGACCCACATGGTCCGGCTGACCTCTCCTGACCTGCCCACTGCTTCCCTCACTGGTGTAACTCATCGATCTGCCTGTTCTGCTCCCCACTGTGTCTCTTGTGAATTCTCTCACCACCCGTGCAACTCTGGCCTGTACCCCAGTTCTGTATGCTTAAATAAGTAAATGAGCCAGTCTAACCTAGATTTTCAAGATAATCTAGGGAGAGACCATCCAGGTTCTTAAGAATCTGCCTTTTGGTTACCATGAATGAGACCAAGCCTCAGAATCTGTTGAAGAGGTGATTGCGTTTCCTGGCTAAGAACCCTATATCATTGCTTCAGTTTTCTACTAAATTTATTTATTTATTTCTACTAAATTGATTTGATTTATTTCGGTAATTTCTAGGAGGTGATCTTTATATTTGGTTGAAATTAGTCCTTTGTAATATGAAATGTATTTCCCCATTCACTTTGCCTTTTACTTTCCTGATTTTTTTTTAATTTTTTTTTAAAGATTTATTTATTTATTCATACAGAACTGGGGTACAGGCCAGAGGTGTGGAGGGTGAGAGGCTTCACCAGAGACAGAGTGGGGAGCAGAACAGGCAGATCGACACAGTACACTGCTGAGGGGAGCAGCGGGCGGGTCAGGAGAGGTCTGCCGCGCCATGTGGTCACCTCCGGGGCAGGCGGGGATCGAACTCATGCGGAAGTGGCTTAAGCGTCTTAGTGCTGTGCTTTAACCCGCTGCACCACAAGGGAAGGCCCCTGATTTTTTTTTTTACAAAAAAGTTACTACAAAATTTATCTCTTGTGGGTTATTTTTAGTAAATTTTTCCAATAGTTAAATTTATCAATCAACTATTTTATGACTTTTGAATTGTACTTTATGCAATGATAAGGGAATCCTGCTGTATTTTCCTCAAGAACTTCTGTGCTTTCAGTTGAGTATGGGATGAGTTTGTTACAGGCCCTGACCAAAAAAAGGTGTGTCCTTTACCCTCTAGGGAAAGAATTAACCAGAGAGCGCCAGGGGTAGCTGAGCAAGGCAAGGCTGTATTAGAGAAACACTTGAATGTAGGAGCCAGTGTGGAAAAGGAGAATTAGATTACACTTAACGGAGTTAGATAAAATGTCTGAAGGCAGAGCAGAAAACAGCATGTAAGCTTAGGTGTGGCAGGGTGTTTACAATTGTGTATAGACAAGACAGGTTACATTCCGAGGATGCATGCGGGCTTCTAGCTCTCTCCCTTCAGGAGATTGTACAATACTCATTCAGGATCTCATGCTTTCTGTCTGTCTTGGTACTTCATGGTCATGTATTAGGCCAAATATTTGGACAGATTAATTAATCCATGATGTTGTCCACCTGTTCAAAAAGTACTTGGGTTAACTCATCCTACTGGCTTGCAATTTCTTTTGCCTCAGCTGTTTCTAGTCCTGAATCCAACTTCATCTTTCATATTGTCAGAGGGTAGGGGGAAGTTTCCTCAACCCGTGTGGGTTCTCAGACTAGACAAATAAATTAACATTAGATTAGTAGGAGAAAAGGCCGAAATATAACAATATATATGTGGGAAATTTACATGGTTGTAATTCTAAAGGACAATGGAGTAGGTGGTTATTCTGCATTTAGGGACCTAGGGCATCAAGGAGAATAAGGAATAGAATTCACATGATAGACAAAGAGGGAGTTACCTCATCTTTCTCTGAGATTATAAATGAGACTTAGAGAGGACATGTTCACTGATGAATCTGAAAGTCAGTTACACACCCTGAGCTACATTCTTCCAGATTATGAAAGTAGGGTATGGGCGGAGGGGAGGCCCTGTGATGGCTTTTCTGATTAGGAAAAGAACAAAGGCAAAGAGAAAAAGCTCTTCAGCTTCCAGAGCTCTCACTGTTCTCATGTCAAAACATTCTTCATTCCTTAAGTAATGGTCATACAGCTCCGAAGGCCCCACAGGCCCTCAGCTGATCTCTAGCTTTCACCTTAAGGTGACAAGAGGTCCACTTTGGGCATATGGAGAAAAACCTACATGACCTTGTTGAAAGGACAACCTCACAATTTTTTAGGTCTACATACTGTATTGAAACAAACCTTGCCATTGATTTGAGATGCAACCCTTTTCTGTCTTTTATTCCCCGTGCATTTCCCTGTTATATTTGGAGCTCCCATTCTAACTTGTGGATCTTATTGTCAGTATGGATACACACTTTCAATTCCTGAGATTTTAACATACTTTAATGGGCTGTTAGGTAGATTTGTGAGTCTTTTGTTTTCTTCAGCCATGTTGAATTTGATTCACCAATGAAAAGACTAATGGAAGCAACCAGTGGAAACTCCTTAACTGTAGTAAAAGTGGACATCCCGCCCCCAGTACAAAGGTTGAATTTAGTAAAGTCCTCTAAGTGCCAGCCATGAGATTTTGAGGCCAAGATAATAAAAAAAAACAACATTCAATGGAGACTTCAGAGGAAAGATGCTCATGTAGAACTGCAGTCTAGCTTAGAGTCCTTTATATTGATTTTAGTTATCAGTTAATGAAGATCAAGGTCAAGCAATAGTCATCCTGCATTTACCTCTTGAGTTGGAGCTCTGGGTGTTGCATGGGTCTGCTCTCAGGATAGTGACAGAAGAGACTCAACAGTCTGCGCTTGCTTTAGTTCCTTGGGAGATCAGAGTTCCTCGAACCCCTGCTCGAGAGAGGCCAGAATATAGCAACTTCAATCCAGTAAAGAGAAAGGAGTTTAAAGCCAGAGCTCCCCCAGTGGCAGTTGGGGTGAGTTTCTACAAAGGAGAGCAAGTCCAGGGGTGTGCAGCTCAGTGTACATAGCCACACACGTGGACATGAGGTGTACGAAGGAGGAAATGTTCACTGAGTGTTCCAGATGGTCTTCAGGTAGTGTAACAGTGTGGTCCCCAGGAAAAGAGGAGGTTCCAGTTTCCCTGCCCCAACCACGGGAGGGTGGAGCTAGGTAGGGAAAAAACCAATCTGGAGAGGAGACTGAAGAAGGAAGCAAGATGGAGAGCCAGAAGGATGTTCTTGCTTCAACAAGAAGAACATCCCCTGTTGGGGCATCTGATTTACAAATCACCTTTCTTGTTAACAGACTTTTCCGTCTCATTCCACAAGCCTCTAGTTGTAACCTTCCTCTCAAGGCTAATTCTATTAACATACAGCCTCGCAGTCCGGATGATATACAGTCATTCCAAAATGACATGTAACCCTCTCGGTCCTTGAGGCCCAGCCGGAGCACCTCCTCCACCAGGGTCAGCAGCGTTTCCTTGGAGTCGCCCTCATCGTCGTCCTGCTCATCAAGGCACATAGAGCACAGAGACGTGTGAAGAAGTGTATCTTGTTTCTTGACCCTGACTGAAACAAATGTGGCTGAGAGACATGTGGGGATGTTAGTTATGGCAGCGTTTATCTTGATTTTGGTTTTGCTCTTTTCCTCCCAGACTTGTCTGGCTATTTCTGACCCTTTCCTATGGGTCCCAGCCAGAAAGTTCTTTGGACTTGTGGTGGCCTTTCAGCCCTTGCTTTGGACCAGTCCCTTTTGGGTGGACTTTTGCTCATGAAGGGGTGGGTAACTTTGGGTGTTTGATTTAGGAACTATATTCTTTGTCTTTTCTGTATTGCCCACTGATTGTATTAAAAGTTCTTTTCCACTAAAAGTCACATGTTTTGTCTTGATGGATGGCAGAACCTCCTTAGAGCAGGCAGGTTTGGGGGTTCAGGGGTACCCCTCTCCTTGGCCTGTAATAGTAGGAGTCCTGGTTTTCACCTAGGTCTTGCAGCTAGAATTCCTAAATTTCAACTGCTGTTATGGGACAGCTAATCCTTTTGTTGAAATTTTCCTGTTTGCTACTAGGCCGACTTAGTTATTTCATCCAATTTCTCACAACCTTGCCATGGTTATACCTGGAGCTGTGATTTAATAACAGTGTTAATTCTCATCACATCATTAGCTAACTGTTTTCTCTATTAGTAACTTAGTGATTACATTAGTAATATTTCCATTATACATGTGAGTCATAAATATCGATATATAAAATACTGTTTAACATATTCAATGTTGTTGAACTGAGCTGTGGGGGCACCCCTGACTGGCTCCTTGAACACCCAGTTTGGTGGGTCAGACCTTCCCATTTGGATGGTGGGGAAGGGGATGGGTGGGAAAAGCGGGAGAGGCTGGGGTCAGGATAGATGCAACCCTGCTCCTGAGACTTCCCAGCAGGTGGCCTGCGGCATGGAGTCCAGAGTACCTTGTGCAGGAAGGGCCGTTCTCTGCTTTGTTGGCTTTGTGGTTCAATGGTTAGTGTTCCTGTTTGTGTCATCTGAGCAACCTGAGCTTGCCTGCTCCCCTGCCTTTATGGAACCAATTTCAAATTTTAGATGAGCCCTCTCCTTCAATACCTGCATGCCCCCCTTCAAAAGGAGAGCCAAACCTGCAAATGTTAGCCCACATCCCAAGGGTACCCAAACTTTTAAGGGCTATGTGACCCAACAGGAGTCTAGCCTTCTGTAGCCATCCATCTTTTGAAATCAGAACTTTCATGAAAATGTTTCTTCACTGTTTTACTACTGACTTCTGTAAATTAAAGTTTGTTGCTGTAACAGGTAAACTTGAATTATTAGTTGTTTTCAATATCACACAAATGTAACCTCTCTTCAGTGCAGGCTGTCAAATATCATGTGACTGCTTGTTCATTTTCCTCCAAAAATAAATTCAGGAACCCAGGGACATTCACTGTTTTAAATTTATCATCATCACCATGTGGCTTTAATTCTGACTGTGGTGCTTGGGTTTATTCCACTCAGTTGTGGAGAAGAAAATGTGCCTCTTGGGTGACATTTCACATGTGTGCCTGACTGGGAAAACATAACTTCCACTCGTGTAATTGGACGGACTGACTCAGATGGCTAGAGGTAGGCATCCAGAGGTGGGAAGGAG